GGGCGTGTGAAATCCATGTAAAGACTTGAAAGCATCCTAAATAGAAAGGTGAAATGCAGGAGCTGATCATGTGGCTCAGTTATATTTAACATCTTAATTGATTCAATGAAAGGATGTGTGTGGCGCCACCTGTAGATTACTTCATAACCCGCTGCACAAGTGTATTAGTTACACGGGGGCCATTTATAGGTGCAGATAAGGCCATGTGTGCATGCATTACAGCATGTAGCATCAGCATACAATGGCTCACTTAGTTAACACAAAGCTGTAAATAGCATTCATGATCTACAGCCAAGACACAGGTTGTGTTGTGGCTAGAGGAAAGACAATGCAACAGTCAAATGAAAGGGGCTTTATAGTGATGAAAATGTTCCATTTTAAAACAGTTAAGTCTTACAGACTCAGAATAAAAAAATTGAAATAAAGCCCATTTTCCAGAAAGCGCAAGGTCAACAGATTTAACATTAAGAAAGGATGGTGCCCCCGCTGCCGTAAAAGTGGTGCTGGTGGAACCTTTAGCTGAAGATTCTGCAAAGTACCTGAAGAATTTCTGAGAGCACCATTTCAATATTTTTTTTGCATAACATAAAAACTCGCCAATGTTGAAAATCTTTTTTAAATACTTTTTTTTTTTTTTTTCTTAGTCTTCCAAAATGACTCCTACTCAAGTCTGATTCTTTTTTTTTTTGTCTCCTTGCTCTCATCGACACAGCTCAAAATAATTGTGACATCTGTGAGTAAAAGCTCACATAAAAGAAGTGTACAAATTTAAAAACGCCTTAAAAATAAAAAGAAAAATGTCTCCAAGGCATACGTTATCAAATCTTCAAACTGGTCGCATCATGTACAAACAACCTGAGTATACATGTGAATTAATCAACACAACTCTTTTCTTTTTTAGGAAGCCGTCCACAAATGTGAAGAGCTGAAGTCTTTACGTGTCTCAGTACCGTCGCCATCTATTATCTTGGTAGCCACGGTTGCTTCCCTTGTCGTCGTGATGTCTGTTGCCACCTCTGTTGTCATGGTGACGGTTGCCGCTCCTGTCGTTCTGATGGTGATAGCCGTCCCGGCCGTGGCCCTGTTGTTGCTGATGACGGCCGGCAGCCGGTTCTTCTGCGTAGCGCTGATTCCGGCCGCCGCTGTTCGTCTGCGCCGAATGCCGATAATGGGCGTTATCGGGTTGCCTGGAGGCCCCTCCGCCGGAGTTTCCACCTGCAGGAAGCTGCCTCTGCTGAGACTTGGAGAATCCGTCATTCAGCTGCTCGACCTGCTGCATGTGGAGCCACGGCATGTTGTTCAGCTACGGACGAAGGAAAAGAGTTGTTTCTATTCCTGTCAAATTATACAGTGTGGACATTTCTTCATTTCTGCTAAAACAAGCAGAGAGCAGGTCTGAATATGTCACGTGTTAGTAGAAGACCTACGAATTCTGTCGTGACTGTGCAGTGCTGTGTCATAAAAGTATATAAATGTTACCATGACATGCTTCTGGAGGTTATCGGGAGATGAATAGGACCTCTGCATTTGGGTCGGAGGAGTATATGGTGGGGAACTGAACTGGGTCGGAGTCCTGTAAGAGTAAAGCAAACCATTGTCAAATATTTCATCACAAAAAGGAAAGAACATATTGACGACCAACCACTTGTGCAAAATCCATGTAAACTTTGATTATTTAAATAAAGCTATTTTTAGTTGATGTTTTAACTTCATTTCACCTCTTTGGCATGTAGGGATAGGTCGTGTGCTTTAACATTTTATGGCATCGCCTGAGGGAGATTTCATGAAGCCACGCCCATACTTCAGTGGGTTCACTTTGTTTGGACTGTGCGTGATCCAACCGCACCATGAACATCCATCTTCAGGGCGGGGACACATATCTTAGTAGCTCAAGCACAGTACAATCCCTCTGTCGAGCGTGACGTAAACAAGATCCTGTGAAGGCAAACTCAAGACTTGGAGCCAAGAGCAATCAGTCCAGCAACGTACATTAGCAACACACAATTCATCCATCCAACAGCGACATCACCATCCACTGGGAATAGGCTCAGGATAATCGTCTTGTTGGATGAACCCTGCTGTTGTTGAAGTATGGAAACATTATTGTTCACTGGTAAAAGAGAGCAGTGCCACGATCTGTGATGGAATGTCTGATGTGGAAGTCCATCAGCATTGACATGAAGCCAAGTCTGACACATCCAATCCCGAAGGGACTGGATTGACCTGAAAGTAATGTTGCAATAAGTGGATTATCTGCACCTTCGGCTGGTGCAGGTGTGTCTGTTTGCCATCAATCATGACTCCTCGATGACTTTGATGAATCAATGCCACTTCATGTTGTTTAATCAACTGACCAAATGCAGACGTAACCATCTGCATTCCAGCGATGGGATGTTTATCTTGAGGAAATGTTCCTCCAAACTGTTTTTTCATTGTTCTCTTTACTTTTGTTGAGATAAAGATAGTGAAGAGAGATAATTTTCTTTTATGTAGGAGTGTAGCCAATATGTTTTTTTGTTGAAATTGTTTTTTGAAGTGTGTTTGTGTTGCGTTCAGTCAAATGTTGTCAACAATATATTGAGCACAAATGTGCATGCTGCATTGTAATGAAACCTGAGCTGACTGGATTGAAACACTTCTACCATGGAGCAACGGATGTGTACCAGCTTAGAGACACCATTGGGTTAAGATCAAAGCTATGTTTTAGCTCGCTCCATTATGTTTTCAATTAGGTAGTCGGGTACATATTTTGTTTAAACACCAATTTAAAAAAATCTCCATTCTGAAGAAGAAAGATCAGTTATTTCAAACTACTAAATCTAATCTCAGTTTTCCAAGAAATACATTTAGAGCTATTCTTTATCCGCTGTAGTTGAACACAAAAAACACATATTGTATACATCACACCGGTCTGATACTGTCTTAAGTTAACTCTCGGGGCAATACTTTTCCCAGCAAATGCTCCAACAGGCACTGCTGCATGAAATTGGGCATGAAACGTGGAAAGGATTGCACACAGAGTAAATACAGACCGGTCCAATCCCATTTCATGCCACATCTTTTGCCAGAGCAGAGGGCACTGCCAAGAGCATGAAAACCGTGCATGTCCAAGTAATATTCAATAAGGTGGAAGCATCTTAAGAAAATCTGGTACCAATTACAAACATACAGTTCTGCCATTCCTCAAAATTATAAACTACTGACAAACCGGGAAACTAGCAGGCTCCATTCACAGCCCAAAAAGTGGGCGTGTGTTTGCTATTATTGCCATTATAGTACCGTATTCTATCATATGTGGGAAAAGTATGGCAATGTGACCTGCCTCAAAGACTTGTCTTTAAAAAGCGTTTAATATGTTTTACACAATTAACCTCACACTGTAGTTCAAAATAGAGAAAAAAACTGAAAACCTTTCAGCTGCTGCAGCTGTTCGTTGCATCCCCTCAGATAGCTTGAAACAGCCAATGCTGTGGTAATGCTGTTACTACAACACCATGACTCTTTAGTCCAGTTTGTATTGAGTACCCTGTGCTGCACTAGGAAAATGAAAATTGGCAGCTCAAAGTTGAGATGAAATATACCAGGTGGACTTCTCTCTGTGAACAATGTGATGACAAAGCAACAAGTCCCTTGGTTGACTTAAAATCTGTGCTCGAGCCACATTTTAAGATGCAGCTGTGAACCACCATGAGAGCTTTATCTGCTACGCTAAGGAGGCACACAAAAGCTCGATCCAAGTTTGAGACTGAGAGGCAGAGAAGTGCCAGTGGCTGCTGTGATGCTACCGATAGTGAGGGAAACCAGATTTAGTGTCTGGCACTGCTGGACTTCTTACCTCTGGCCATGCGGATTCGGGATATTTGCAGGACTTGTGTTCTGCGAGTTCCCTGGACTGCTGCTGTGACTGCTACCTGTGATGAGGCAAACGGAACAAAATAGTTTATTAGTTAAGGACAAATTAATTCCAGTTTGAAAGTAACTACCACATATACTCTGCAACTATGGCAATTGTGTACTTTTATTATGTCACATAGGGAACACTTTGAATTGTATGACAAAATGAGTAACGACCAAATTTCTGCTGTTCATTCACCGATGATACAGTAGACGACATCATCTTAGTACCAGCCACACGATCAGAATATTAACCACATCGCCTGACAGGAAATAGATCATGACTGAACCTCTCTTTATATGCAAAGTGTGATAATTGAATGTCCATTTTAGTCCCATTACATTTTATTTTCACATGGCATAAAAACATGTCAAATCAGCGGTAAGAGTTTCTCCAAACATAGCCGGTCAGTTATCTTGTTTAGAAACCGATGGTTACTTTTATGACACCAATGTATAACGTGGCTACTTCTGAACACATGTCTGGCATTGTAAGTCTGTAAATCTGTCCGTTAACGTTGACGTTCCATTAACGTTCCGAGTAACGTTAATGTTTGTCTATGATCAGTTGTCAGAATAACTTACCCGATCTAAACTGCACATGAATGGTTCTCCCATACAGCGACGTCCCGTTGATTAGTTGCATGGCATATGGCACGGACACTTCGTGTTTGTAAACAGCAAAACCAAATGTTTTCTGTTTCCCATCCGCGTCTTTTGGAATTTTCGTTTTGATGAGAGGTCCTGCCTGCAAAAAAACAAAAACAAGTAACGCTAACGAGGTAACGTTACCCAAACAACAACTAGCTAACGCTAACTCCCGTGAGTGATTAGCTCTTGTACTTGTCCACAACGTGCATACAACAAACACTAGCATTATCACATGTGTAAAAAAAGGTCTACAATTATTGTAATAGAGTGTACCACCTAATAATTTTACATGTATGGCCCATTTTAACTCTGACAAGCTTCCAATGTGTTAGCATAGTGTTAGCATTTTGTGCAGTATGCTATCTGTTGACTTGACATTTGCTAGCTAGCGCTAGCTATGTCGAACGTTAGCGACAACAGCACCTGTACAAACAGCTCGAACAAAAGCTCCTCCGTCACTCTTGTATCCAAATTCCTTATGAAGAGCGTCCGGTCCGTTTCCTGCTCTATTCCCATTGTGTTGGAGTAGATACTAGCACTCTCAAGCGATATAAAATGCTAACGTCGCAAGCGCTCTGCCAAATGTAGCCGGAAGGCCTAGTATCGTAAAGTGAAATGCCGTTACACTTGAGCTTCCGTCGTAGTGAACAGCGGTACCTTTACGACACTTACGGTCGGTTAATCTAAGACGGAAATGTTCTTCCTTTGCTTTTAGGATTAGTTATTTGGTTAAACTCCAACTGCCAGGATGAATGCAAACATGTTTTCATTTTAAATGTGTTATAATACATGGCATATTTAATATTTGGGGTCTAAGGGTTTTTTGGGAGCTCCTGCAGTGTAGGCCCAAACCTATGTAAAACAACCATAGAGCATTGACTGAATATGAAAACAACACAGAACAGGAGAGCTGTTGAAACATACTACCCATACTACCATAGTATTTACTAATTGTTAAGTATGTCCCATGCATTTCGAATTGCATACTTTTTTGTTTTGTTTTAACTTGTAGTACATACTGCAGCTGCCCTTACAACAAGATAAACTCAAAAGATAAATCATTTATCAAAATAGTTGTAGATTCATTTTCTGCCGATTGACTAATATATAAATTAACTAACATCTAATGTGTGTTATGTGTGTGTGTGTGTGTGTGTGTGTTTGTGTGTGTGTGTGTGTGTGTGTGTGTGTGTGTGTGTGTGTGTGTGTGTGTGTACAAATATGTGCAATATCTGAAGCAGTTTTTTGTTTTGATGTAAAAGCTTAAGGCCAAACAGTTTGAATCACAAATCTACAGTTACAGGACGTGCCAAACGACACCCAATCCTCATAAAGGAACAGTGATTTTCTGATCAAGATAGGCTGCTATCCGGGACACAAAAGGCTTTTTTTCCACAGCAGACATTGTGACTTGTCGTAGCAGGAAAAGCACAAGTATTACAATAGCATTAGCAATGACTCCACTCTATTCATGTGTCTCAATAAGCCATGACTGTGTGACTGTGAGTCAGCGAAAACAATACCAAGACCCTGAAATGGAAACTGAAACAGCTGAGTGAAATGTAATTGTTTATTTTGTTGTTCTCCTACTGTGGCATGTCAGAAGGCCTTCTGTGAGAAAGGCAGCAATAATTACTTACAGTATTGTTGCCCTACAAAGACAAGTCAAACAAGCCCCACAGAAGGTTATGCATGTTGCCATATCCTTTTTCCACCTGTTTTGACTGTATATCTTTCATTTATTATATTATTCATTTTTTTATGCAAAGTCCATAATGTGCACTTACATCTGTCTTCTTTGGTAAGTCTAGATGCAACTTTAACTTTGCTAATATAAAGTCAGTCTTCTCTTCTAGCATATTCAGTTTCTTTGACTGCCTGGGTGTTGAACACTTTTTTTTTTTTACCCCTGTGGCTCACTGATTGGGTCAGTGACTCAAGTGCCTGGAACCAAGTGCCTCTGGTGGCTGCGACATCGTTGAGTGTGGAGGTCAAGCGAGCAGCGTGAGAGGCTTGACTTCCACCCTAATCAGATGGGCCACGGCATCTGTACTCCATATTAATTAGATCAATTTAAACTAATGATTTTCTCCTTCATGCCTGGGAAATGTCCTTATAGATTCTGGTCTAAGTAAGAGAAATCGGCACATCAGAGACTGAATCTGAATCTTTTACTTTTCATGCTGTTTAATTCATGACAGAACAAAGTGGACTGCGTGCTATACTTCATTATAGAAGACACCTTACAAACCTCTATGACATATTTATTCCAGGCAAGGTGCATTTTCCGTCACTTATATTTCTCACCTGGCAGTAAACACTGCAATTTAACACCAAAATCTTGGCTGTCAGCAAGTCTTGTGGGATCTTTGCTGCCGTGCGTAGTTGTTAACACTTGACGTATTGGATGTATTGGCGCTTTCCAAAAAAAAGTCTTATGATTTGAAATACTGCAAGGTTGCAATGGAAGCAGTAAAAAAGCCTAAACCATGAAACCTGTGCAGTATACTGTTTGATGACTAAAGCCCTTGAATCTATTTTGGGTCCCCCTACATTGCCATTACCCAATACATCTCCCTGATGTATTCCCTCCTCCCTTTTTTATAACCATTGGACGGAATTCAGGAGAGCACTATGAAAGTGCAGTGTGGAAATGGGGGAGAGGGGTAAGTGAATTGGAAGACAAAACAGGCAGAGCTGCTGTATTTGTAAAACCCTCATTACTGCCCACAGAAACGGACTGAAAACAATGCCATGAAGCCTATTTTTTGCTTTTGATTTCTAAAGAGAACTGAATTCAAACATTAGATAGATCCCTTAACATTAACCATTCCATTAATTACTCGAAGTACTGTAATGCTGAGTATACTAGCTTAGTAACTTATCTATGCTGAAGAGGCTGAAAAGCGGCAGTAGATGGCAGCATTGATCCACTGATGCTGGTTCTGCCGACGTTGCATTAGCAGTGCTTCATCTCTGTGGGGATGTCAGATGGTTGCTATGCACTGTGGAAGAACAAAATGCAGAATTTAAAGATCTTGGTTGTCGTTTTTCTTTATGCAGAGAAGGGAATTGGAGTTGATCGTCATAGGAATATCGTCCTTTCATGTTTCTCTTTTAGCGTGTAGCCTACTTTCAGGTTTCTTATAACATTAAAGGGTTCTAAATGGCTTGTTAAGGAGGTGGTTTTCATGGAACTATTTCTAGAGTATTTATATTTTTCAATTCAAAGTAGGAGTTCCTCAGTTAAAGTCAGTGGCCCACAGAACAGATTCACATTTTACACTCAAAGTACATGTATATTTGGTCACTATGAGGCCTCTGCTGCTGTTCAGGTGAGTATCATAAGTGGTTTGCATCAAATGTCACCAAAATAACTAAACACGTTGTTTTTTAGAAACTCACAGAATTGCCTTACCTCGTGATCCAAGACATTGACAAGCAGAGCACTGTTATGCCTTTTAATATGTCTGGAAACAAGTAGTGCTCAAGCAGAAAAAAACATTGTGCTAATTTATAGCAATTACAGAAACCCTTTCGGAGCTAAATATGAAACAGCGGGATGCACTTCAGCTCGAAAACACATCACCTCCTACACTCAGCGCCATTAACACGAGTGCAACGGTTCCTTTTTTTGTAACTGGGTTTTTTGGATGCCTGCACACAAGACTTGGCCACATTGTTTTAATTAATAGGGGAAGAAAAAAGCATGATCAAATTGGAGCAATGCTCAGGGGCAAGATGGTAGCAAGCGAGCGTTCATCGAGGGCAGAAGTAACAGGGCCGGACCCCAGAAATAGGCCACCACCAGCTACCCCTGCTCTGGTCAGATCAGGGTGAAATCTCACTGCTACTGTAATGAGGCTATACATACACACACTGTATGCTCACTTCCAATTATGACCTCTGGCCTGGAGGGTTTGGTGGGGCTGTGAAGTGACTGACTGGTGGCTAGACACATCCTTCTCCTCCACCAATGTCCACCCTTGCTTTCGGCTCGTAATGAAAGACAACACGCCCTTCCGCTGCCCTTCCCTCTCGTTCATTAATATTTCTAATTCATGTGGAATGAAGTGATTCAGGATCATTAAACGCACATGAATATTTGTCGGATGAAAGTTTAATCAAGCCACCCCTCTTTGGCAGTGTGATGTCACGGAGCGGCTTGCCATTCAGTGCATCCAGTGCATGGTTTAACAGCGTGTGCCTTCTCATAAATGCTCAGTGCTTATCTAGCAACAACCTCCACCTATGCGCAGGTCTTATTTTACACCTCCTGCCCTGCTGGATAGACTCAATTGATGGGGATGGTGTTTGAGTGGTTCCTATACTTCCGGTGGCCATATGTGGATCAATCTTGCTTAATTCAATAGAGCAGGAGAACCACTTTTGTGGTGGATGTCATTTATTATTTAGTACTGCGGACTATACATATAGGCTAGGCTCGCTTTTAGATTGTTGAGTAACTGGTATACACATACTGCATACATTATGTCTCTCCAACAATAGCATTGTAATATATGCTGAGTCCATATACTATATGCATGTGATCTGTTATGTCTGGAATCCTGTATGTAACTGTGTGAGATTCTTAGATTACAGCACAGGTCTGAGTATAATGCGGTAGGAGAACAGTGCACACATCCAGCCACACAACAGAGGAAAGCCTTACTCATCCTCTGCCCAGTAGAACAATACTCATTTCCAATCAATCAATTTCTGCAGGTTTGCGTCAAATATTAAGTGTAGGACTTTATGGAAATGTTCTGTCCTCACTTTGTAAGACACATCTGATGAAGTGACTCTCTCTCTCTCTCTGACATGCACACAGACAAGAGCTCGTCACTGGCAGCACGCCACCCAGATTCAACACCCTCTTAAAACAAATGGGTGCAAAAATCTTCTGAGGGGTGTCCGAGGCACTTTGCTTCTTTACAGTTCTCTCCCGTTTCAACATGCTTGTTATCTCAATATTGCCGCTGCATGTTGCCGCCGACTTGACATGCTGTGACTTCATTTTCATATCTGCGACTCCCCTCGAGCGTTTTGTTTCCCTCCCTCAAACACACACACACACACACACACACACACACACACACACACACACACA